TTGTGTTCATCCTTCGGGATAGATACAGGATTTGAGGTAAAACGCTCTTTCATCTAAACTATGAAAATTATGGGGTCAGTTTGACTTCATCTTTTTCAAAATTAAAATTTTTAAAATGTCCTTCCGAAGCGGGCAACGGGATTTCAATTCCGATGACCGACAGCTTCTTACGGGCAAACCCCACACCAAAAATAGTGCCGACACCCCCACTTCAAGCCCTTTGGCCAACTCAGTTGGTGACCTTGGAGGACCTCCCATCTTTCAGACAAAGGAATAAAGCCTGAGTAAGACGACCAAGGAACTCCCCGTGTCAATGGCTGTTTCGATGACTCCCCGACATCTGACCCAAAAATGTTGGGAGTTCTCTTATCCCCTTGAAGAGGCTCCTGTGATGGCCCTAAGTTCATCAGAACGGATTTTTGATCAATTAAAATCAAATCCCCGATGATAATTTTTAAATAATAAATATTGTTTCAGAAATAAAATGAATGAATTCCAAACCTGGGATAGTTTCGATCACTTGATCATCATCATCTTCTTCTTCTTCATATTCTACCACTTTCCAAGTGACCTTGGGAGTAGCAAAATTTCTTTTCCCTCGCTCCTTTTAGGAAAGCTGAGAGATCTTTTCAATCTACCACCTTTCCACCACCTCATTTGATGTGGCCCATAGTTCTAGGTACATAGCGCCAAATCAATCAAGGTTCAACACACAATTTACCGTTATGGGATTAGTGTATTGGATAGTTGATAGTTGTCTAACCACTACGGTTGATGCCAATCCTAAGATCCACTTTGGGACACCTTTCTTTTTCTTTGATGGCTCTTTAATCGACTGTGTTGCAATCCCTCAAGTTTTGACAAACCCCATAGAGGAAACAACATTTCCAATCTTTAATCTTATTCTCAAGATCATCAGTCGACAAAAAAAAAAAAAAAACATAACCATCAGGCTCCACCTTGAATGAGAACATGTAGGAGAATAACTCTTGGGACCAAGGGATCTCCATCTAACAACAATATATCACACACTTCATAACAGTGGAAACTGAGTGCGGCTTTATCTGTGCAGGAATTACTCCATAATTGTTCAGGATCAATCAAATCTTGGAACATAAGGGTTGCCGAAGCCCCCACCAAAACTGGTCTCTTTAGAATATCAAATCACCAACAAAATTGTTAGTTGTCCGAACCTCCAACGCTACAACCTCGAGTGTAATGTTTAAACTATACTCATGAGTATCTTCAAACAACTCATCATCGAACAATGAAAGTCAATACATCTTGTTCTTCGGCACCAAACTGAATAGCTGAGGGGAGCATTTGGAAGCCATGCGAACCAACGAAAGCGAACCAACCCAAGAAGAGAGATAGAAAACGATTGAAGGGAAGGGAAAGGAGACTTTATAAAGCGCAGCCCTTATATATAGGGCACTAAGGGAAGCCTAAATGTAGCAATCATATTCGATCTTTGAAAGTTCACATTAAGTTACCACATTATTTGAGATAATAAAATGGCAATAAGAATTTTAAAGTTTTGAAAATAATTTTTTTTAGTAGTCCAAGAAATAAAAAATTTTACACAGAGTTATTCAGCCGCCTCAACCCATACAAGACCTCAGCTAACTAAACTTTGGTGTAAGGCTCGCCCCCCAAACTTAAATCTCTTTACGCTCTCCCCCTCCACTTGAACCTAAAGGATAAAACAGGTCACCCAAACATCCGTCATAGCCATCCAGAGAGTCTCCATGTTTGCTCGGAGGGCCCTAACTCTAGCATGTGTTCCTAGCAAAGGGCCGCCATCTCTTTCCTCATGTGTCGTGCGTGCATGTTACTTTCTCCTCTCTCTTTCTTCTTGCAATACCAATACTTAGTTTCTCTAATCCCCTATTAATCTCTATGATCCAACACAAAAAATTTGGCATATTTGAACAATCTACAAATCTTCTCAAGACTTCAACGGTAAACATGCAGGCTTTAGTAATCAAGTATTTCAATTTTTTTTATGCATATAACTTGCGTGGGAATGAAAATGTAAATAATGGGCTTGAATATGATGAGTCAAGATCAGAGCACTATGAACCTTCCATCCGAAAATTCCAACAAATGCAACCATTTATAAATGCACTATTTTTTAAAATACCTTTTAAAAGTACTCAAATCTTCGAACTGAAGAGAGCATCACCTAATAAGCACACCATTCTCAAAGTTTGCCAGGCAAATATTCTGCTCCATGAATTAAATGGTACTTTTAATTTTAATTAAATATATCACATTTCTCAGTTCTATCATGAATGTGAAAGCAAAGCAGAATACTAGCTATCAATGAAAAAATAAAATAAAAATCTTCTGAAATTACTATTGAAATGGCAATAAGCTGCCTCCATCAACACTTTTAAATAATTTTTAATTCAAATTTAAGGGAGCAAATATTACATCCGAACTCTAGACACAATTTACGTCCGGAGTCCAATGATGGGGCGTCATGTGTCAGGTGTGCCCACCACAAGACATTGCTATTAGTCAGTGTTAAAATTTATGAAACTCACTTGACATGTGGCGCTCTACCATTAGACTCCTGATGCATTCTTTCCCAGCTGAAGTTCTATTGCACTATGCATAAACTCTTTTTTTTCTTTTCTATTGTTCTGTCAATATTGTCCTCATTGAAATGCCATAATGTTTCAAGCGAAAGAGTGAAGTTCTGATCTGAGAAGCCATAAAGTGTGATTGAAGTACATTATAGCTACAGAATAATGTCATGCAACTTTTCCCTTCGTTAATTTTCAATGCAAAAGATATATTACATAACCAAATATCAGTTGCGACTATTTGGAAATTCAATCAAAGGAAAACTTATGAACAAATATACAAAATATAGAGGAAGGATATTGATCTGCGGCTCCGAACCCTTATGTGGCACCGTAGAATACCTGGAATAGACAAGAGAAAGAAAGAACAATTTAGTATTTAATTAACGCAACACTGGAGTGAGTGAGGTGCCCATAACCTAAAACCTAAATTATGGCAACTTCGTCATGATGCCAGAAAAAAACAAAAATAAACAGAATAAAAAATAATTAGTATATATCTTAAGCATTCCTTAGGAAGTAAGGAAACAAGTTAAAAATTAAGAAAAATGTATATGTATTAGCTAGAAGTGATGACTTTATTGTGCGACACAAGTCTTTAGGATGAGAAAATATTATATGAGGAGTCCTGATGTATTTTTGCATTAGGACTTCAATCACTGTCTGTTATGTGTACTGTCCGGACCCCTTTTGAAAAAAAAACTAAATAATTTAATACACGGTGGGGCCAGAATGTACACGTGGTGGACAGTGATTGGAGTCCTGATATATTTTTTCATCAAGACTCCATACTTCCTGCCTTCAATAAAATGAAAAACAAAAAAAGGCACCTTATCATTGCATGGTAGTTGGCAGTTTACAGCCAAATCTCAAGAGTTTTCAAAATGAGCATCCTTAAAAGCCAGCTTGTAAAAGTTATCTTAGGTTAGCTTTTGTCTATTGTGCCTTATTTTTTGACTTTACAAAAATAAAACATGTGTAGAAAGCATATGGGAGAGACTAGTTTCCAATTTAAAAACAAAAGCCCATTAGAAACTCGGGTTTAATGTAACAAGGAAAATGTTTTAGTAAAATTATTTTTGACCCTAATTTGATCGATGAAATCATTGGATTAGCTTTCATATGAATGCAATACATATAGTTAAGTCAATCAATTGGGCTGTCCGCATCAAATGCACTTCTACCAAGGGGCGCGGGCTGTTAGGCTGCAAGCAGGATTTTAACATTAGTCGGATTTCCGTTAAAGCTGTAACTCCACCGATTTAGTAAATCCAATTTATGCTGAATCAAAGGTAAAATTGGATTTACTAAATCCAAAAATTTGTCATGGAACTGCATTTTGCTAGCTCTCATAATGTCAATGAAATGCATCCTGGTAACTTCATATGTTATGTTTTATTAATATTTCATTTATACATGTATTTGAGTTGTATCTCATTTAAATTAATTTAATTTTTTTGTCATCACATGAATCCTTTTGATCATTATGTAAATGTTATGGCGTCCCTTGAAAGCGTCACATTGTATGACCTGAATAAAGTGAAGAGTGTGCAAGGGCCCTACACCGGTGCTCGGGTGTACTGTCAAATAAGCAAGAGTTCCCACATTTCGGACGGGTGCGGGTAAAAAAATTACTTCATAAAACTAATATTATGATAGAATCTTGGAATATATGCACTCTAACTGATAAATTAATAAAAATAGTTGATATTATGATTCATAGAAAGATAAATATCTTATGTATTCAAGAAACAAGATGGGTTGGAGAAAAGACTAAAGGGATTGATAACTTAGGTTTTAAACTTTGACATTCAGGTAAAAGTCACACTAGAAATGGTGTAGGTGTAATTATATATAAGAGATTGAAAAAAATGTTATAAAAATTAATAGAATGAGACATTGAATTACGACCCTTAAGATTATTGTTGATACTAAGATTTTTAATATTATAAGTACTTATGTTTCTCAAGTAGGTTTAGATATAGGTTTTAAAAATATATTATGGAATGACTTAGAAGACTTAATACAAATAATACCTCTTGAAAAAATGAATTTTGATTAGAGGAGATTTAAATGAACATGTCAGTAGAGTGGTAGAGATTTTAGAAATATTCATGATGACTACGATTTTAGAGTGATTAATGAAGAAGGTAGAGTCATATTAGACTTTGTTTTATTATATGATTTTGTTATTGCTAATATTTTATTCAATAAAAGAAATGAGCATATTATTACTTATAAAAATGGATCTAATAAAACACAAATTGATTACTTTCTTATAAGAAGAGATTGTCAAGAATGTAAAGATAGTAAGGTCATTCCAAATGAGGATTCAAGTACTCAACATCGATTATTAGTTCTAGTTTTTAAAATGAGATACAAAATAAAAAATATTAGAAATCGTCGTCGTAGAATTTGATGGAGTCGCCTAAAAGAGAAATAAAATTATTTTTATGAATAAAATTTAAGATTTTAAAATTTGGAATGTTCATGAAGAAGCAAATTTTATGTGGGATAAAGTAACAAAATACTATTAAATAAGTGTCAAAGATGTACTTGGAGAATAAAAAAAAAAATCATATAAATAAAAATAGTTGGTGGTGGAATAATAATGTGTTACAACAAGAAGAACAACACAACCTTAATCCCATTACATGGGGTAGGCTACATGAGTCCTTTTTCTCCATTGCGTCCTATTTAGTGTCATATTTCATTTAATTCTTAAATTAAGATCATTTTTTATATAATAAACAAAAATAATAATGTGTTAGAAAAAATAAAATAAAAAAAGTTGAGTTATAAAATTTTTTTTAAATGTAAAAGTTTGATAACTGAAAAAAATATCAAACGACTTGTAGGGAGTCTAAGAGAATAATCTGTTAAGGTTAAAAATTCTACTTTTAGTGATCTTTATAATAGATTAAATACTAAGTAGTGTGAACAATTTATGTATAAATTAACCAAACAAAAAGAAAAGTAAAGTAAAGATTTAACTCAAGTAAAGTGTCTTAAGGATAAAAATCAAAAAATGATTTTCTTAGAAAAAAATATTAAACATAAGAGGGTGAGATATTTTGATGAACTTTTTAATGAAGTTTCTAAAAATACGATCGACCTTAGTGATCTTAATATCGTAAATAATAAAAAAATGTTTCACTTTTAACATTACATTAGTAAAAAAAGAAGTTGATGAGGCTTTAAAAAAATCGAAGGTGGAAAGTCTATCGAACCTGATGATATCTAAATTGAAGTGTGGAAATATATAAAAGATTTGGGAGTTTCTTGGCTTACTAAATTCTTTAAAAATATTTAAAAAAATGAAAAGATGCTTCAGGAGTGTTGGAAAAGTATTTTGGTCTGTATTTTAAAGAGAAAAAAAGATGCACAAGAGTGTGCAAATTATAAAGGAATTAAGTTGATACGTCATACTTTAAAATTATGGGAGAGGGTAATTGAACATAGGTTGAGATGTATTACAAAAATTTCTCATAAATTCATAAACAATTTTGATTTATGTCGGGCAGGTCTATTATGGAAGCTTTACATTTATTGAGAGGTTTGACAAAGAAGTTTAGAGATACTAAGAAGTATCTACATATGATTTTTATTAATTTAGAAAAAACATACGATAAGGTTCCAAGATATATCCTTTGGAGAGTTCTTGAGAAAAAATGTGTTAATATGACTTATATTAAATTCATTAAAGATATGTATATTGATATGTAGAAAATAGTGCATAAATTTTTTTTTGTTTTTAAGCATTTTTATGGATGAAATTGCACTTTAAATAAATGTATTTTTATATTTTTCTTACAGGTATAACATGTATTAGAAGTGGAGCAAAGTGAACAAAACTGTATTAGAAGTGGAGCAAAGTGGTGGACACTTGGAGCAAAAGAGCTCACAAAAGACTGACACCTACGCGCCACCCTACTAGCGCCTAGGTGCCAGACTTTTGGGCGCCTAGGCGCTAGACTTTTGGGCGCCTAGGCACCAGCAACTGCCTTAAGCAGTTTACAACAGTTTGTGTAGAAGATGAGAGTTATTCAGACGGCTAGAGGGCTTAATGAGGAGATTGTTTAGAGTATTTTGAAGAGGATGAACTAAGGGAATGAAAAGAGCGCGGTAAGTTGGCTGTAGAAAAAAAGTAGAGAGAGTATTTTTGAAGGATTTGGATATGATTTAAGTTGTAAAGTGAGGAGAAACTTCAAAAAAGCAGCAAGGGATCATGAAGTTTTTGGAGCATTCTCACAGATTTGTAAATGAGAGAAAGCTAAGTATTATGTATTTTTATTAATGTATTTCTGTAAACACAATTATTTAGTGGATTGTCTTGTTTCCAATGACGTTTTGTGGTGTGTTCTTCATGCTTTCTGAGTAATTCTCTTTTATTTTTCCTTGTGATGATTAAGTAGGATGTGTAGGAGTGAAAAATATTTTTAAATTTGTTTTTAAGTTTTTAATGTGATGAGTAACATTTGATTATTCATTTACTTTTCATTCTAACTAAATGAATTGTTAAAATGTGTTGTGATCCATAATGACTCTGAAGAGCTATGGTGGAATCAATTAGATTAGTCACATTGATCAATAGGGTATGGGACAAGTACATTGTAGGGGGATGCAAATGTTAAAATAGTCTTTGATGAGTTCAAGTTGGGATTCACGGAATTAAAGCCAATTTAATTAAAGCCAATTTTAAAGCCAATTTAACCAAACTTCTTTATGCACTAGGGAGAGGGTAAAGAAGAGAGTTGCTTCTATTTGTTGCTAGCTACATTCACAATTGAGAATTTATATTTCCTACACTCCACTTACATCATTGCAAGGAAAGATAACTTTATAACATGGTAATCACTAATCCAATTAGGATAAGTAGGATTTTATAGGATTTAGCCCTTAAAAATTGATTGCAATACTGTAGTATTAGTTTGTAGAGCTTTAGCCTAATCTAAATTCCAGGCTAAGAACTAAAACTAGTAGGCTAGAACTTCTTTTAAACCTAATTCTCTCGCTCCCTGTGAGATCAACATTCTGGACTGAAAAATCTGATATTACTAATACAACGTGTACACTTGCGTGAGTGTACATGGAAGTGAGTATCATGTTTTTGGCATCGTTGCCAGAGAACGACAGTATAGTTAACTTAGAAGAATTTTAGTTGAACCGTTTAGATCTAGACTTGAAAATCTTTAGTGTTAATTTTTTGTGTGCAATTGTATAATTGTTTGAAAAATAAAAATTCTAAAAATATTTTGGTGCGTTCAATTTGTGTGAAACCTATTAGTTGAGTCATTAGTCAGTGAATGCCTAGTTCAGGACCAAGACCTACAAAACTTGAA